TTGCCCCAAGGAGCTCGATGCCCCTAATTAGCAGGAAGTACTCTAGCTAAAATGTCATCCATTTCTGACTCCTGACTTTATTCAGGATCTCTTTCCTTTCCCCTGTATACTTTTCCCCTGTCGTATCTAGTGTTAGGGGATTGAAAGGGGAAAAGAAAAGGGGTGAAGAAGGATGGAAGAAAGAAGATCCCACAAGTTGCTAACTCTGGTTGCAGGGTGGGATTGTAGAGGAGTCTGGATAAATCCTAAAGGCAAGAAAAACACATGTGTTGGTGCTGAGGCTGGAGAGATGCTCAGTAGTTAGGAACATGTGGATGGAGGAAAGCTTCCAATAAATTTTACGAATCTACTTTCCCCTAACACTCAAGAAAGAAAAATATACTGTAAGAAAACTATAGATCAATATTTCTCATGAACATAAATGTGAAAGTCACTAGCATAATTCTAGCAAGTTCAAGCCTAGGGTATCTGCAGAAAGCAGGCTTAGTTAAACTTTCAAAACAAAAATTAACAAGTTTACAAATTTCAAGGACCATGGAAAGGAAGACAGAATCATTTAATCATCCTCATAGGCACAGGAACAGCATTTGACAGAACTCAATACATATTCATTCTAGCAGCTCTTAATAAAAAACAAAACAAAAGAAATAAAATTTTAAAGGGAACAGCCAGAACTTGATAAAGAGCAATTATGAAAACCATTAAGTGAATATCAGACTACATGTGGAATATTGAATGACTGTAAGAGTGAGAATAAAGTAAGGACATCTCCTGGTACCACATCTGTTCAGTATTGAACTAGTGAGTCTGCTCTAACAGAAGAAAAACAAGAAGGCATTCAACTTTGTCCAGGAAGAGGTCTGGTCTTTGTCCTCATTTTCTTCAGGATAATTTCTAAGACACACTTTTAAGGCTTCAAGAAGTGATAAGGTATGTCTGAAGCTTTGGGACACACTAGATATTCCAACAAGAAGACTTACTGTGAGGTTGTCCAAACCAGAAAGATTATTTGGTGTAATTTAGGTGGAAGCTTTTGTCATATCATTTCAGTCAACTTGGAGATGGAAATCACTTAGGTGAGAAGGCAACCAATCAATAATTCTCCCTTTTAAAGGACTCATGAGACTTTCTCCCCAAGGCTTGTGTCATGGGAGATCATACTCCCTACATGTTGTTATGAATCAATAGTAGGAAGTAATAGGTTGTACTTTGCCAGACAAGGACAAAGAGAAGCTAGTGTTTGGCACTTGTCCAGTTTCCTCCTTATAGCCTTCTTCCTTTGATGACCTTAATCTGATTTTCTCCCAGCAGTAACCTATTGCTGTGACCATGAAATCTGTAAGCAGCTGGTGTTAGAAATGATGGTGCTTGTTTTAGTTGCCCACTCATGCTCTGGCAAAATACTCTGGCTAAAAACAACTTCATGGAGGAAGGGGTTCATATCAGTCTCCATGCAGCAGCCTCTCACTGAGAGAAGTCAGGGCAGGAACCTGAAGCAGAGACCGTGGAGGGATGTTGTTCCTGGCTATCTCACAGGGTTCTGCCTAGCTAGATTTCTTATACAGCACAGGCTCATCTGTCTAGATGTTGACATCCAGGATGATTTATGGAGGCTGGGCCTGCCCTCAGCAGTCATCAAATAACTGCTCACACAGACTTGGTCTCTCTGGTTATGGCAGTTCTTCAGTCCAGGGTTCCTGTCCCCAGGTGACAAAGTTGAGTCAATTTGACAATGAATAAATTGGGACACTGCTTTTTTTGGGGGGTCCCTAACTTTGTAATTGGCTAAATCTATGTATGTATTTTGGAAAGTAAGAGGAAAAACTACTTTTGTTCACAGGCAACGTAAATATGCAAAAAAAAAAAAATTCTAGGAAATCAACAAAAATGTCATTACAATTTACGTGCTTGTGTTCCTCCTTTTCAAAACTTATTGTGTGTCATATGGAAGAGGAAACATCTAGGACTAGACCCTCACATTTGAACAATTGATTTGTTTTAAAAGTGCCAAAGTAGTGAAAGGGGTAAAGTGATGGACATTTCAACAAACAGGCCAGGAAGAAATGGATATTCATGAGGGCAATGCACCTTTGGCCTTACCACCCACAAACCACAAAAGTTGACTTAAAAGAAATTATAAACTTAACATAAAAACATTGGAGAAGGAAAAGGACAAAGCTCTCTGTGACTTCAGAGAGACACCTATTACTCAGATAAGAAACAAAGAACACACACCATTAAAAAAAAATCCTATTAATAGGTTTTCATTCTTTAAATAACATTGTTAAGAAGACATAGAACCACATCCCTCACACTGGGAGAAATTATTTCAAGGCCAGATGTATGACAGGTGATTTCCTACCAGGACTTGTAAGGGGTTTGATGGCTCAGTAACAAGACAAACAATTCCATAACGAATGGATGAAAGATTGAAATAGATACTTCATGAAAAAGGGGGCGACTAATGGCAAACAAACCTGGATGAGATATACGTATAAATAGTCAGTAAGGAAATGAACTCTAAAAGACACGTTTATTATACCAGTGTGTGTGTGTGTGTGTGTGTGTGTGTGTGTGTGTGTGTGTGTGTGT